TGTGATGTCACGGGCAGGTGGGCTTGAAGTAAAAGCCACAGTAATGTTCCTGAGTGAACAGAACAGCACGAAAAAGATCAATAAGGTCAAGATTAATGAGTGCCTTCATTAGATTGTGATGTTGGTAAGTTTACTGTTACATAAACATTTTTATCAAGTCCTTAAAACTTGTGGAAAATAAACACATGGTTGCTTGAAACTTTCCTGCTAGAGATAAGAGAAAAGTGGCTATAGATGAGCTAAAGCTTAAAGTAGAGTAAAGTAAGTCTGTGTTTTCGTTTATATTATATTTTTTAGCCTTTACTAGGACATTATCACATACTGAGACATATTTACAGCCAAGATGGTAAAACTGACATAAATTGTTGTGGCTGCCAAGGTGGTTTGATTCAACATTTTTTCTCAACATTTGGGTTGCCAACCCCTGCCCTAGCTTGTTCAGCCCTGTGCACAGCCCAAGATAACTGCTGATTCTGGGTGTGTCCCAAAACCTAGTGAGCTCTCTAAGTAGCCACTGTCTACCTAGGCAGCTGTCTAAGTAGGCAGCGTTCCAACCGTCATCTCTCCTTATAAGACAGATAGTTAGACAGCAGTGACGTCACGGCTTGTTCCCACCCACTGCACGAGACCGGCGTTTACTCACCTCAGCCGTCAGAATCACATTTAGCCAACATGGATCTGCTCTAGCGGTTTATACGGCGATTTTAATTGTATTTGCTCTGAATGAAACAGCAAAATAGACAATGGTTGTGGTCAAACGTGGAAATGAAAAGAATTTGAGCACTCCTTGCTGGCTATTTGTGCACCTTTACGACTAGAAAACAGATAAAATAGCACAGAAAATCAGAATAACTGACATTTGAAGATGACGTCGCTGCTTGGCGAGTCGCTTCTGCCCGCCATTTTCAAACAAAAGTTGCGCCGCGCTGCATGAATTGCCTCAGCGGCTGAGGTAGCATCCGATGCTCTCTCGATATTCGGCCAAAATGAGATACCTCAGTAGGCAGCATATTTGAGATATCTAAGAATTGGGACAGCCTTCTTGTCGGGAGCGCGCATATTGTGACGTAAAATGCTGTCTATGTAGAGAGCTCACTAGGTTTTGAGACACACCCAATATTAGACAGTCTCATTTGTTCCATATACTCAATTATGCAACATTTGGTTCCGACCTTACAAGCTGATTGGTTGAGAAGTGTTCTAATCATGCTGATATTTGTGACAACAGCATGGCTTTTCCACACCAAAACTGTACCACTCCTCTGACATGTTGCCAAGTAACAAGTTTACAGGCTTTATGCATGCAAACCTTAGCTGTTTTGTATTTGTGCTTATACAAAACAAGACATTGATAAGATGGATGATTTTAAGATAACATTTGACCTGTAACCTGTTAGGACAGAAGAGTGTGACTGCAGACGGTGAGCTTTATAGTGGGTGTGTCTCAAAACCTAGTGAGCTCTCTACATAGACAGCATTTTACATCACTATATGCACTCCTGACAAGAAGGCTGTCCCAGTTCTTAGATATCTCAAATATGCTGCCTACTGAGGTCTCTCATTTTGGCCAAATATTGAGAGAGCATCGGACGCTTCCTCAGCCGCTGAGGCAATCAGTGCGGCGCAGCTTTTGTTTGAAGATGGCGGGCAGAAGAGCTTCACCGAGCAGCGACGTCATCTTCAAATGTAAATTATTCTGATTTTCTGTGGTGTTTTATCTGTTTTCTAGTCATAAAGGTGCACAAACAGCCTATGGCTTGCAATTTAGGTGCATCAATGACCATTTTACAGTTTTTGAAACCCCAATCCATTAGCATGCATGCTAGTGGATTTTGAAGCTTTAGGCTTGTTTTGAATAGCCAGTTGGCTAACAAACTTGCTGGCTAATGACCCAGTAGCTTAACTAGCGACAGGTTTTGTCAAACAACTATTGTCTATTTTGCTGTTTCATTCAGAGCAGATTAAAATCTCTGTATAAACCGCCAAAGCAGGGTGCTTAACCATGCTGGCTAAATGTGATTCTGACAGCTGAGGTCAGTAAACACCGGTCTCGGCGACGTCATTGCTGTCTAACTAGAGCGTTTCATTGATCTGTCTTATAAGGATAGAAGACGGTTGGAACGCTGCCTACTTAGACAGCTGCCTTCATAGACAGCGGCTACCTAGAGAGCTCACTACGTTTTGTATTCATTTGAATATTTAATTTTTTTTCATGAAACATTAATACAAGAATTATATCTACTGGCAACCAGTAAGGAACAGTGCGAAATAAAAATTACTGCAGAGGTTTTCTCAGATACTCTAATATATTTATTCCAAATGTTTTCTGAATACATTACTTTCTTAAGTATTGTAATGCGGGGGTCCTCAATCTTGTCCACCTTTTTTTGGTACTTTTTTGTCAGCTGTCTTATTTTGAGAGCAATTATGACTATATGATATAATGCATATTGTATGTTAGCATGGATCCATCTTGAAATTAGGTTGAATTCAAGTCGGCGAACAATGTTGGGTTTTGATGTCAGTCCAAACAGCCTGAAAAAGATGTGCTTACGAGGAATTGTTGCTTTGTGTGTTGTTGTGCGTGTGTGTGTGTGTGTGTGTGTGTTTTTATTTTATTATTATATAGTTTTTTAAGGTGACGTTTTCAGAAAGGCGTTAAGGTTGCCACAGCTAGGTTGGGGCAGCCATGGCTCAGGTGGTAGAGCGCTTTGTTCACTAATCTCGGGGTTGGCAGTTCAATCCCAAACTCCTCCTATTGACAACTGTAGTGCCCTTCAGCAGGGCACCCGAATGCTCTGTCCAACGTCGGGGGTTGATGTCAGTCCGATTTTCATTTTCAACTAAAATTCAACGTCAGTCCAACGTTGCATATTGGCGACAAGCCAATGTTGGGTTTTGACGTCAGCCCAAATTTCATTTTCAACCAAAATTCAACGTCTGTCCAATGTCAGGGATTGACGTCAAGCAAACGTTGGGCTTAGCCATTAGCACGATTTTCATTATCGACTAAAATTCAACGTCTATCCAACGTCTTTCTGATGACATTGACGTCCTGTGCCTGCAGGGTAAGTTCTGGAAAAACCAGTTAGAGGAGATAAGTCTCAATGGAGAAAGTCTCAAAGATCATGAGGAAGAACCACTGAGAGGACCCAAATCCCAATGGAGAAAGTCACTAAGAGCCTGAGGAAGAACCACTGAGAGGAACCAAATCCCAATGGAGAAAGTCTCTAGGAGCCTGAGGAAGAACCACTGAGAGGAACCAAATCCCTATGGAGAAAGTCTCTAGGAGCCTGAGGAAGAACCACTGAGAGGAACCAAATCCCTATGGAGAAAGTCTCTAGGAGCCTGAGGAAGAACCACTGAGAGGAACCAAATCCCAGGAAGAATGTTTTTTGTGTAGTGTGTCTTCTGTCTTGATTACAAAACAGCGGGAAGATGCACTGAGCCACCACCAGGGGAGCCGCCTATAAAAGAGAGATGTGCAGGACAAAGTGTGCGGTGCTTCTGGTGTGGTTTCCATTGCATCCCCGGTTCCCCGAGCAAAAGCTTCTGCTATAGGGCTGTGTCGGTAAGAGAGCTTGAATGTGGTGTAAGATTTATGGGTTTGTTGTTGTTTGTTGTTGAGACTTTCATGAAGACTGTCCATGTTGTAGCATTTTCATTGAAGTTGACTGTAAACACTGTGCTAATGTGGCTGCTCAGCAACACAGCTCTTGTACATGATCTCTCTTATTGGGGAGAGAGGGTTATTTTGGTTGTCTTTGTTTTCTCCTGGTTTGCTTTAGTTAGAAAGTTGGGTAATAAATTGTATTTGTTTTCTTTTGTTTGTTTGTTAGTTAAGTTAAATTTACCTAAATCTAAGTTAGCTTGGTTTTGTTTGTTATTTTTCCCTTTCCCCCTCTAATGTTCCATATCTCTGCCTACAGCCTTGAACTCTTGAAGAAAATGAAACTAATTTGTTATTATTGCAAAACTGGTTGTATGTGTGAACTGGGGAAGTGGGAGCACACAGAGGTCTCTTTTTTTATGGTGCAGCCCAACTTAGTCTTGGTCATAACAGTAGCATTACTGACTGAACTGAACCAATGACAATGTGACTATATGTGAGAGCTGATGTTTGTTATGCCTGTTAGTAAATACAAGTGACCATCATAATAGCTTTTGTTCTGTAATGATGAATTTGATACATTTAAATTTAAATGTTTTTTCTAAGGTTATTATGTCTGAATATGTATTTATTTTTATTTTTATTTAATATTTGTGTAATTCTAAAAACTGATTGTGTAAATTTTCTAAAAACTTTTTTTTCTGAGTGTTACACTGTTTTAGTATCAAGGAGATCACAGATTTTTAATATTTATAAATTTATAAATGTAATCTTTGTCAACCTCCTTTAACATCTAGTCTAGAACCTGTCTACAAAGACAATAGAAAATATTCCCAGAGTGCACGAGGAGGAAACACTGAGAGCATTACAACCTGTCCTCAGCCCATAGGGGCTCACTTTCAGCATTGAAATGCAGCACCTACTCCTATTGGGGCGTCTTAAATTTGAGGCATCTTCATTACATTTTCAAGAGAAATACAGTGTTTGCTGCAAAAGCTGCATTCTCACTCATTCTGCCTCGTTAGCGCCTTTTTAGCCTATTTTCATTTCTCAGTGCTCCACCTGTCGGTGGGCCCCTGTACTGCTGGACTTCTTCATTGAGACTGCCTCAGTACCAGAACATCACTGACCACTGGAGATGCTCTGTTGCTGTTTGCATAGGAGGGGAGTTTTAGTAACAGTGAGATTCTAGAGCAGATCATATAAACATGGACAGTTTACAGACTTTGTCTTGTAAACACTTCTTAGTTGAGGTTTATTGCAATTTTGTGTAAATTTGACACAAAATGGCACTTTTCACCTTAAACACACTGACATATGTGTTAGAACAGTTGACAATAAACATCTGTGAGTGAGATTAGGATGAGTGAAAAGGATAGAAGAGAAGTACCTTTCCTGAGAGACTGATCCCTCTTTGAAATGTGGAGGTTCTGGTAGTGACCGGTCACTCTTCAAGGACACACAGCTGGACACAGGAGAGTCTGATCTCTTCTGTGTTCCACTAAAATCAGTGAGAAATGTGCCTTAACAGTTTTGTTTAAAAAAATGAAGTTCTTCTCATCGATAAACAGCTTCTTAAGTCATTCCTTTGCAATCATTTTAGACTTATTCACAAAACATGGTTTAATGGTTTAAAAATGAAGTGATAGCTATAAACTCAGAGACTGACAGACAGTGATGCTGTAATCTCCCACTTACAGCTCTAGACTAACTTCCTGTTCCTGTCTGCTTTCACACATGTCCCCCAGTGAACACTAGCTTTACCACACACACAATAAGAGTCCTCAGTAGAATAATCCCTTCAATAAATGTGAGAGACCCACATGTCAGGCATCCCTCTCTAGGGACTCCATTTCTCAGAATCCACAGGGGGATCACATGATTCTCAGCCCTCCATCTTGTTCCTATCACCGTTCTCCGTCACCTGAGTACTAACTGGTTACGTCTGTTCTAAGATAATTAGTTTAGTTTAAAGTCTGGGTTTTTAGTCTAGTTCGATGCGAGGTATTGCTTCTTGTTCAAGAGCTACTGAGCAGTTTTCCTCCTGTCTTTTGTGATTTTTCTGGTTTTTGACTCTGTTTGCTGTTTTGACCTTTGCCTTTTTGTCTTTGCCCCCTGGACTTTGATTGCCTTGTTATGTTTGTCTTTTTGTGTCTCTTGACTTTGCTGGATTCGACCTTTGCCTGTTTTTTGACCATGGTTTTGGATTGCGACTCAAACATTAAAGCCTCACTCTCATTTTAACCGTGAGCGTCTGAGTTATTCTGCCACATTACAACTACTTTAACATGCAAAACATTTCCCAACCATCCCATAATAGTAATCCTACAAATATCCTACAATTAGATTTTTAAAAGGTAATCAATAATCTGTAACAGAATATATTTTTACAGTAACCCTCTCAACCCTGCTACTACAGTACTATTACTGCTACTACAACTACTACTAATAATAATAGTAATAATATTAATACTACTACTACTACTACTACTACTAATAATAATAATAATAATGCAACTAAATGTAAATTTGATCTGCTTTCTAATCTGGCGTAAAATTGTTTAACCAGACTAATTAAGGAAAGATGTTAAAGTGCTTTCATTAGTCTACAAAATGTTCCTAAATTACAAACATTATAAATGAAAAATCCACTCTTAACCCAGTCCAACAGTTGTGCCTTTGGGAACCAAATCCCTATGGAGAAAGTCTCTAAGAGCCTGAGGAAGAACCACTGAGAGGAACCAAATCCCTATGGAGAAAGTCTCTAGGAGCCTGAGGAAGAACCACTGAGAGGAACCAAATCCCTATGGAGAAAGTCTCTAGGAGCCTGAGGAAGAACCACTGAGAGGAACCAAATCCCAGGAAGAATGTTTTTTGTGTAGTGTGTCTTCTGTCTTGATTACAAAACAGCAGGAAGATGCACTGAGCCACCACCAGGGGAGCCGCCTATAAAAGAGAGATGTGCAGGACAAAGTGTGCGGTGCTTCTGGAGTGGTTTCCATTGCATCCCCGGTTCCCTGAGCAGTCTTTTGAGAAAAGCTTCTGCTATAGGGCTGTGTCGGTAAGAGAGCTTGAATGTGGTGTAAGATTTATGGGTTCTTTGTTGTTTGTTGTTAAGATTTTCATGAAGACTGTCCATGTTTTAGACCTTTCATTGAAGTTGACTGTAAACACTGTGCTAATGTGGCTGCTCAGCAACACAGCTCTTGTACATAATCTCTCTTATTGGGGAGAGAGGGTTATTTTGGTTGTCTTTGTTTTCTCCTGGTTTGCTTTAGTTAGAAAGTTGGGTAATAAATTGTATTTGTTTTCTTTGGTTTGTTTGTTTGTTAGTTAAGTTAAATTTACCTAAATCTAAGTTAGCTTGGTTTTGTTTGTTATTTTTCCCTTTCCCCCTCTAATGTTCCATATCTCTGCCTACAGCCTTGAACTCTTGAAGAAAATGAAACTAATTTGTTATTATTGCAAAACTGGTTGTATGTGTGAACTGGGGAAGTGGGAGCACACAGAGGTCTCTTTTTTTATGGTGCAGCCCAACTTAGTCTTGGTCATAACAGTAGCATTACTGACTGAACTGAACCAATGACAGTGTGACTATATGTGAGAGCTGATGTTTGGTATGCCTGTTAGTAAATACAAGTGACCATCATAATAGCTTTTGTTCTGTAATGATGAATTTGATACATTTAAATTTAAATGTTTTTTCTAAGGTTATTATGTCTGAATATGTATTTATTTTAATTTTTCTTTAATATTTGTGTAATTCTAAAAACTGATTGTGTAAATTTTCTAAAAACTTTTTTTTCTGAGTGTTACACTGTTTTAGTATCAAGGAGATCACAGATTTTTAATATTTATAAATTTATAAATGTAATCTTTGTCAACCTCCTTTAACATCTAGTCTAGAACCTGTCTACAAAGACAATAGAAAATATTCCCAGAGTGCACGAGGAGGAAACACTGAGAGCATTACAACCTGTCCTCAGCCCATAGGGGCTCACTTTCAGCATTGAAATGCAGCACCTACTCCTATTGGGGCGTCTTAAATTTGAAGCTTCTTCATTACATTTTCAAGAGAAATACAGTGTTTGCTGCAAAAGCTGCATTCTCACTCATTCTGCCTCGTTAGGGCCTTTTTAGCCTCTTTTTATTTCTCAATGCTCCACCTGTCGGTGGGCCCCTCTACTGCTGGACTTCTTTATTGAGACTGCCTCAGTACCAGAACATCACTGACCACTGGAGATGCTCTACTGCTGTTTGCATAAGAGGGGCATTTTAGTAACAGTGAGATTCTAGAGCAGATCATATGAACATGCACAGTTTACAGACTTTGTCTTTTAAACACTTCTTCGTTGAGGTTTATTGCAATTTTGTGTAAATTTGACACAAAATGGCACTTTTCACCTTAAACACACTGACATATGTTTTAGAACAGTTGTCAATAAACATCTGTGAGTGAGATTAGGATGAGTGAAAAGGATAGAAGAGAAGTACCTTTCCTGAGAGACTGATCCCTCTTTGAAATGGACTTTGATTGCCTTGTTATGTTTGTCTTTTTGTGTCTCTTGACTTTGCTGGATTCGACCTTTGCCTGTTTTTTGACCACTCTCATTTTAACCGCGAGCGTCTGAGTTATTCTGCCACATTACAACTACTTTAAAATTAACATGCAAAACATTTCCCAACCATCCCATAATAGTAATCCTACAAATATCCTACAATTAGATTTTTAAAAGGTAATCAATAATCTGTAACAGAATATATTTTTAAAGTAACCCTCCCAACCCTGCTACTACAGTACTATTACTGCTACTACAACTAGTACTACTACTACTACTAATAATAATAATACTAATACTACTACTACTAATAATAATAATAATAATAATACAACTAAAACATGCTGGCCAATGTGTTAAATTAAGGTCTGCAAATACTCCATTTCCCAGAACTCTGAGAGATCACATGACCCATGAACTACTAGGATCCACCAATCAACATAAGCTTGACATCATAACAATAGCAGAACACCTTGTCTAAGCTTGTTCGTATGTTTAAATGATGTCTTGATTGTCATGTTTTATTACTTTCTATTAATTTTTTTTTTTTTTTCATTTCTTATTCCTGTAATGCTGAAAAGTGATGTTTCTGTTCATTTCTTATGTATTTCAGTTCTGTATCTTGGTTTTCTCTTCTCTTAATTTTTTCACACATTCAAATCTGGCGTAAATTGTTTAACCAGACTAATTAAGTAAAGATGTTAAAGTGCTTTCATTATTCTACAAAATGTTCCTAAATTACAAACTTTATAAATTAAAAATCCACTCTAAAGCCAGTCTAACAGTTGTGGCTTTGGGAACCATTTCTAAGCATTCAAAAAGGAATTTGAGAAGAGAATGAGAAAGTGAAAAGCGTTCCTGAGGGACAGATATAACCTAATGTTACTTTGACAGCTTAAATGCCTGGTGAACAAGCAAGCTAGCCAGCAAATTATGTAATATTAGGCTAACATTATTAATGGTAAATATTTTCCCAAGGTTGGCAGATCTGCAGTATGTTAACTCAATTCACAATATAAATTTTTCCAATGACTGTTCCTAATTCCTGCTGAAATCAGAGAGTGAGCTAGTAATATTGACTCCTAAAATTAAATAATTCCCAGCACAATCTATCATGTTAAACCCATAGCTTTGTTTCATACTAACTTCCAATAATAATTACATACTGCAAAAGATATTTGAGAAGTATTTGATTAGAAGTAAATACAAATTAGCAATTGAAAAAATAATTATATCCTATCATGGCACATTGTAAATATTGCAGACAATCATGTTTTAGAGGAAAGCCAACCTAGTATTAAGAT